TATATTCTTTGGCAGGAACAAGCTTTCATACATTTCTCATTTTCATTTTGTTTAACTTGATGTACTAAAATAACTGAAACTAAAGCTGAAATAAAAACTATAGAAACAACAAAACTAAAATTAATGAAATTTACAAAAACAAACAACAAAATTACCCAAAGTGTAAAAATAACTAAAATTAAAATAACTAACATTAAATTAAGTCATTATAATAGTAAAATTATTCAAATGAAAATGGAAAATAAAAATTAATTTGAAAAATTGTACTATGTATAATACTATTTACTATAATAGCAAAAGTATCTCAGTAATACTAAAATAACATTGATCCCCACAAATAGTCACAACCCTATTTCAGTGCACCTTCTTGTAATCTTCAAGTAAACCAAAGACCTTGAGTAGTTGGTTCAGGTGTGTTTGGCTAGAGTTTGAACTAGTTAATGAGTATCCCTGGCCTAGATAATGCAAAGAATTTTTCCTCTTTGACTCGATACTTTCTCAAGACATTTGGAAAAAGGTGAAGGAATTTGTTTTCCTTTTCAGGTTTTTTCAGGGTACCGCTTTCTCCTTGCTGCTAGTGAAAGAAAGCTTCCAATAGCCATCGTGAATATAGGACCCACTAGAGCTGATCATCTTACTGGCATCAGGGTGAGTGTGCGCTGTGGAGAAGTGCTGCCGGCCATTCAGCTCTGAGAAATTAGAAACTCTTGAGACTCTTTTCCTTGAAGCTATTCTGAACCTCAGCACTCGACTCATCACAGCATTACTGGAACATAGATTTGGTTTGGTTGTAGGCTGCTTGCATAATAACTGATAACTGATCAGTTAGTTATATAACCTAACCCTAACCCAACCCTAATAACTGATCTCTACCTCAAGTTACGGAATTACTTTAACATATACACACATTCATTAGCTAGAGTTTGAAGTGCAATACAGCACTGGCACTAAAGAGTTAAGTTTAAATGCTTAAAAATTATAAAGTAGGTTCATAGGGACAACTGCATTTCCGATCTAGAATTCACTCTCTGAAAAGTTAGAGCTTCTTAAGAATCAGCATGGGAAACAGTCATAATAATGCTGCAATTCAAAACGAGCTATATAGATTATGACTCTTTTATTTACTAATAAACGTTTGGTTAATGATGAATTACTATTTAAATATGTATTTTTGAATATGTGAATGTACTAGGATGTTTTTAAAATGCATTGGAACACATAAAAAATGTACATGTTAATCATTTATTTGTTCTGCCTGACAATACAAGTCAAGTTAATTGTATTAAGTGATTTTCACAATACATTGTTTCAAAACAGTTTTACAGAAAGTCATGGTGTAAATGTTTCCAATATCTTAATATCTTCATGCCTTATAGTTGCATTGAGCAGTTTAGAACTAGCCAACAATATAGTTTACATTTTTCAACAATATAAACCATCAAGCAGTTGAGATCTGTTATATATATATATCACTTTACATGAGTATAATATATGTAACTAATGTAGATATAAAGGATTTTGTAAAGGACTTTGTTTTTTAATTTTTAGGATTTTTTTTTTTTTTTTTTTTTTTATAAAAGGGAAACCTTGGAGTCAAAAAGGTTGAGATTCACTGCCTGAATTTATTATATGCACACATTATTATATGTTGCTTTGGTAAGAAATCTATGAAGAGCATAAATGATACTGAAAATAGGTGATGCATATCTGAGAAAACACACTTAATAATAAACAAGAGACATATATCAGGTTTATTCAAAGGGTCACAGAGGGCAAAGTGACAGTATCTCTAGAAAAGCAGAGATCAGTCAGAACTGGCTGTTTGTTAAATCTCTCTCTCACGTGCTCAGTCCACCGTTGTACATGACTTTGTACTTCTGACCAGAGCTCTTTTGGAACACTAAATGAGTAAAGACAACAGCGATGATTTATGTCATCTATCTGCCATTTGACCCAAACCGTGCTCACCACCAGTGGTGTCATACACAGACAGTTCCCAAATCCTTTAGTTTGGTCAAACCAGTATGAGGCTGGGTAACCTAACAGGATTCCAAAAAGAGTGCACAAGTTCCAGTCATTATACAACTCCTCTCCCAACACAATCACTGAGGAGCCTTTCTCCAGCTCACTCATGAAGAATTCTGAAAGAGTTTTGATCATATCCTCGGTTGTCTTTTCAAAGCCAACCAAGACAGGTTGTTTTATTGAGGGACATATGTCAATCAGAAGGAGACTTTTGCTTTGGAGAAGATCATCCAAGTGGGACTCAATAGTGGCAGGATTAAAAATGAATGCGTTTTCATCAATGGACATAATCCGTAGAGGATTGGTTACAACTCCAGACTCCTGTAGAGATTCGAGGTACATCTGAAGCTGCTCCGGGGATGCTGCATTACTGTCGTAAAGCAGCGCGGGTTTGACGCCCAGATCCACAGCCATTATTTGAACAGTCACATCAAGACATGTGGACGGAGATCAACGTTTCTTACGAGGACACAATAACTTCTGTGCGGCAGAGATTAGCATTTCTGATGAAGCAACCATTGCACCCGTTTACAAACACAAATATAAAATATTTGTTGACAGCAGGACACACAAATTGATTCTAAAAGTTGTTGAACACTTAATTAATGAAGGTTCACGTTCCAGCATTGGTCAGGTATATTGTAGTGGTGTTGTTAGACGTTCTTCTTCTAATAACGTTTTATGGCGGATGGCAAACCAACTTCTGGTGCATTTACCGCCACCAACTGGACTGGAGTGTGGAGCACTAATAAGCAACTAATATATACATATTTATATATATATATATATATATATATATATATACAAAAATAAAAAAACACACATTCCTAAATTCTTCTGATTAATCCTATTACTTTAATGTATTTAACAATAGCACCATATATTTTACCTTGTTCTGCATCATAGTTCCATACTTCTTGCCATTTTTGGTCTATGAATTCTTTAATTTTCCCTTTAACCTAATTTTTGCTAAGAGTCACTTGAATATCTATTTCCGAGTGTTTTAAGAGCTTGCTTAGCAAGCTTATCAACCACTTCATTAGCCTCCACTCCCACATGAGCGGGAACCCACAAAAATGTTATTAAGCTTACATTACTTAACTAACAATTAACCACGATGGATAAGTCTGATCTAAATACTGCTGTGCAATAATGTTCTTAGGGGTTTCTTTCTCATTCTTAATTTTTATTTGTATTTGAAAATCGACTATTGGCACAGGAAACATCCACCAGCAGCTGTTCTGCCAGAGATAGGGTCTTTAGAACCATCAGTATATATATGTAACCACGATGGATAAGTCTGATCTAAATACTGCTGTGCAATAATGTTCTTAGGGGTTTCTTTCTCATTCTTAATTTTTATTTGTATTTGAAAATCGACTATTGGCATAGGAAAAATCCACGGTGGTATACTGGATAATATCACAGTAGGGCTAACATCACAGTCTGCAATACCAACAACTTGTGCTTCCCTTTTAGCAATCCATCCAAAGCTTTTAATATTTTTGTTTCCATGCTCCCAGCATTCTTCAATCACACCCTTTTTTGTTAGACGTTTTCATCGACTCGGTATTTTAACGAAACGAACGAATGATTCAGTGAATTGTTCATTTCACAAAAAAAGGTTCACATAGATTCACATTCACATGTAGCAGAAAGGGCCACTGAAAGAATCGCGATTCGAAAGATTCGAGTCATTGGGGTGAATCAAAATTCATGTAACTTCCTGTTAAAAGTTGTAACAAGTTAAAAGTGCTACAATGTTCATAAATTTAACATTTAATTTAACATATATTTTTGTTTCAGTGCAGAATATTATGAACATTTTAAATAAGTATGAAATGACACGAGCCGACCAGTTTCCTCCAAAAAGTTAGTTTAGAAACGCCACCGAGATATAAGGACTTTTAATTTGAAATGGTATCACGGAAGTATATTCTATTTGACAACTCGTACAGTTGTTAAATACCAAATGGCAAATCCATTAGGAGACCACTGCAGTACAGTGTCCTAGTATAATATCTGTATAATGAAACGAAGGTAACGTTTATTTTCCACCGGCGAATCTTGGTGATTTTATTGATAGTCAGTTTAAATAGTTGAGTTAAAAAGTAAAGTTCACAATGGGCTCAGAGGATGTGCTCAAGAGTGCTTCAACACTAGCCTCTTACAGTGTTCTGCTTCAGGTACTGTCACACACACTCTACTACTGTACACACACCAAATACACCTTTATTAGAAACATATAGTAAAACAGTATGTTGATATGTTTTATGCTGCAGGTGATGTTTCGAGTGTTGACGTTTCTCTTGAACGCATTTACTTTACGGTTTGTGTCTAAGGAGCTAATAGGTGTGGTAAATGTCAGGTGGGTTTAAAGTTACACATCATCTCGAACATTCGTTTCCATTGGCCACTAACTGCAACGTTTGCTTTTGTTATAGGTTGATGCTGCTCTATTCTACATTGGTGTTTTTGTCTAGGGAGGCGTTCCGGAGGGCGTGTCTAAGCGGCGAAGGGGCGGGGCGTAACTGGAGACAGGTTATCAACCTGTTATGGCTCATGTAAGTAGAAATGCCTGTAGGTTTATTAACCAAAATTTTCTTACCTCTGGAACCAACACACTTAAAAGGGGGAAATGCACTAATGAACTCTTGAATGATTGCAATCAAAGATTGACAGGAAATAAGTAAATCTATCATATCTGAAATTTCAAGGAATAGTTCACCTAAAATGAAAATGTTTTTTATTTCTTCTCAAACTCTTAGATTTCCTGTGGGGTGTGTGTGGGGTGTGTTGTTGGTGTGTGTGTGGTGGTGGCTGCTCCAGGCACCTGATCCAGAGTCCATCCCGCATTATGTTCCTGCTGTTGGATTGTTCTGCTTGGCTGCTCTAACAGAGCTGCTGGCTGAACCTCTCTGGGTTCTTGCACATGCACACATGTTCGTCCGTTTGAAGGTGTCACAATCTGCCTTTCATACTTTATTTTACTCTTGATAGAATCATTGTAGATCGAATAAGGTGAAACTGTCTGACCAAATGACATATATTCACAGGTGATTGCCGAAAGCTTAGCCATGATCGCTAAATGTCTTGTTACTGTAGTGATGGTGGTCTCAGCACCTCAGTGGGGGCTCTATATCTTTTCTGCAGCCCAGGTATATATATATTTGCATGTTTACACACTGAACATATGCAACGTATATAGTTTTTGGTTGCCTTCTGGTTTCTAATCTTGATTCTGTGTTTTCATTTCACAGTGTGTCTATGCAGGGTTTTTGGTGCTTTGTTACATGTTATACTTCGTTCGTTTCCTTGGCTCAGAGGAAGCAGAGAAGAAATTGTTCCCTGTTAGTCACATAAAAGACCTTCTGCCATCTGGAGTGGATCATGAGGTGACTTATTTTCTAATACGACACCACAATGCTCTGTTGTATACCCTTTTTATTTCAGTGAAACAACTACACTATATGTTTGTTTTTTAGCCACTACTAAATTGGAAGTTGACCACACTAACCTGGAGCTTTTTCAAACAGTCATTTCTCAAACAGATACTTACAGAAGGTAAAAATCATGCTCTTTTTTTTTTTTTTATGAATGTTGAAATCTTTCCAATAAATATTTCATTTTGATTTTATAGGCGAGCGTTATGTGATGACATTTTTGAATGTGCTTAACTTTGGCGATCAGGGTGAGTTTGTACATTCATATACACAAACTATTATATACAAACAATATAGTCATATTATACTTATTTTCTATTTACAGGAGTTTATGATATAATAAACAATCTGGGCTCAATGGTAGCAAGATTTCTTTTTTTGCCCATTGAGGAGAGTTTCTATGTGTTCTTCGCTAAAGTCCTGGAGCGTGGACGAGATGTACGACATCAAAAACAAGTCAGTGTCTGTTTATGCGCCTAACTTTATCTAGTGCAGCTAGCCAGATGTGGGGTTGGATAACTGTAAAATGCTGATTGGTCCACAGGAGGAAGTTTCCATGGCAGCTGAAGTACTGGAGTGTCTTTTGAAGCTGGTGCTTTTGATTGGTCTGATCATCACAGTTTTTGGTTATGCATATTCTCATCTGGCACTTGACATCTACGGCGGGGAACTTCTGAGCAGCGGAGCCGGTAAAACACAAATACGCTTACTAACTTTGCAGTTCAGATGAGTACATTTTTATTTGTGTGTGTTTGCCGTAAATATTTAAGTGGTTTGTTTGTTTTTTGCAGGGCCAGCTCTCCTGCGGTGTTATAGTTGTTATGTTCTGCTGTTAGCCATTAATGGAGTAACAGAGTGTTTTGTTTTTGCTGCCATGAGCAAAGAGGAGGTTGACAGGTGAACAACATAATTGCTATACTGTATAAATACACTACCATTCAAACATTTGGGGTCTGTAGGATTTTGTAATGTTTTTGAAAGAATTGTTTTATGTTCTCCAAGACTTAATTTATTTGATCAAAAATACACTAACAACAGTAACATTGTGAAATATTATTACAGTTTAAAATAACTGTTTTCTATGTTAATATATTTTGAAGTGTCATTTATTCCTGTGATGGCAAAGATGAATTTTCAACATCATTACTCCAGTCTTCAGTGTCACATGATCTATCAGAAATCATTCTAATATGCTGATTTGGTGCTCAAGTAACATTTCTTATTATTATTATAACAGTTGAAACCAGTTGTGCTGCATAATATTTTTGTGGAAACCATGATGCATTTTTAAAGGATTCTTCTTAAAAACACATTTATTTGAAGAACAGCATTTGTTTAATATAAATTGTTGAACAAATTGTTGTAAGGTCTTCACATTCACTTTAGATTAATTGAATGCGTCCTTGAATAATAAAAGTATGAATTTCTTTTAAAAAATCTTACTGACCCTAAACTTTTAAACTGTAGTGTGTGTGTATATTTCACTTTAGGAATGCGTCCTTGAATAATAAAAGTATGAATTTCTTTTAAAAAATCTTACTGACCCTAAACCCTAAACTGGTAGTGTACAGTATATACTGTATTTACAGCCACAATACTTTTTTGTAAGGTGAAAAGTCGTATATGCAACCAATGTCTTAGTAAATTGATTTTTACTATCATAAACTTAAATGACATGCACTAACAATGATTGCATTTTATGAAAACTCACAAAAATTGCTTTTAAATTGCTCTGAGGAAACGTTAAAATCCTCTTCGA